TGGTACTTGCTGAGTACAGTCTGTCTGTCTATTCTTTCTGCATTGAGTCTCTTCTGTCCTAGGTCATAGAACTCTGTGGATGAAGGATAGGGCCTTGCTGCCAGACCTGCACGAGACTTAGTAGGACCAATCTCTACTCTGGTATCTGGAGACCTGGGTATGAGCGGCGAGCGCTCGTTAAACAACTCGTCTAGCCCAATGACCGGTAATGTCCGGCAGGTCTGCTCAGTTTCAGTGTAGAGGGTCCGAACTCTGAGCTCTAGGCTGAAACGGAGGCCGTCTTTAAGTGTTGAGGGCCTGTTGGAACCACTCCCCTACCAGACCAAGTAAGGCTGATGATCTGTGTCTGACGACTCGACTGTCCCGGGGGATACGAACCCTCCCAAGGACCGGTACAGACCGGCGGGCTGCTCGGTGTGGCACAGTAGGCTGGAAAGGCTGAGTTGTGGGCTGAAAGCATAGGCAGAACCAAGCTGATCACGTCGTCCTGTCTGTGACGTTAAAGAATTCTTGAGGAGTTACGGGGGATCTCCTTAAATGCCTCCTGATCGGCCACTGGTTCAGTAGTGACAACCATAGTGTAGGTCTAGGCTAGAGACCATAGTTGACAGGATCCCTGTCAGGATTCTGTGAGTCTTAGATTGAGTCAGTAGGTCTGTCAGTCAGGGGTTGACGTCTACGTGGTGAGGTTTGGAACCACTAACCCGGATGTACACTTATCACCATGGTTGAGACCCGTAGTGGGAAGGAGACTAGCCCCTACACCACTGAGCAGCAAGAAAAGATGACCGCCTTAGTCAGAGAGAGTAAGGAGAGGAAAGAGCGTGAAAAGCAAGCCAAGCTAAAGGCTATCGCAGACGAGCAGGCGGCGAAGATGAAGAGATTGGAGGAGGAGATGAAGAAAGTACAACAAGAGGAGAAAGAAAGAAGAAAAGCTGCTGAAGCAGAAGTGGCAACAGAAGAAGAGAAAGAAAGGATGAGGATTGAGAGTGGAGAAGGGAGTAGTAGTGGCACGATGATGAGGGAGACAGATACAGGGCTCGAGAAGAAGATCAGCGAATGGGTCGCTAATTTATCGTTGGGAGAAGACGAGGAGGCAGAGTCCTATGTAACTAAGGATGAGAAGGCTGCGCTGGCTGCCGAGCTAGCAGCCATGACAGAACCGATGGAACGAAGAGAGAGGGAGGAGGAACAAAAGTTAGCATGAAAGCTGAGGATGAAGAGAGAGAAGAAGAAGAGGAGAGAGGAAGTGAACAAGATGACCGYAGARGTGGCAAAGGTGCAGGAGTGTAGAGCGGAGGTGCTGGCCCAACCAGACGATAAGGCCAAGTGGGACAAAGTACTGGGGTATCTGGAGGTGTTGAGCAAGGCCTGGATGGAGGAGCGCCAGGAAAGCTGGAGCCATGATGTAGCGTTGAGTGCCATGAGGTCAGGGTTTAGAGATTTCGCGCGCGAGTTCGTCACCCATATTGGGGGCGAAGTGAAGCAATTGAGAGATAATGTAGGAAAGTTTTGTGAGGGCGCCAGTAGCCGCTGTAGAGGGAGAGGCCAGACCCCGTAAGGACCCAGTGAAACTTAAGTTCCCAGACGCGTACGGGGGGAAGAAGGACGAGAACTTTGACAACTGGGAGGCC